TCTTACTATTTAGCAGCAGCATATGCTATGTTTAGTTCGGCCGCTGTCTGCGTCTTATTGTCTTTACTAATTTAGTTTTGTTATATACACGTAGCAGGTGAATAGGGATTTGCCAAACAAACCCTCACTGATCCACCCTAATTTGTTTATCACTTGATTTATACCAAACCCCAATTTTAATTTCTTATAATAATATAAATATTAGTTTAATTGTCACTCAAAATTAATAAATAACCGAATTTTTTGTTCTGTTAAGATGTCGGCAAACGCAACGTTAAATATCACAATTTAGAAAGACTATACCCTTTGTTAATATTATAAAAAATTATATAAAATTAAATTATCTACTCCACGATCGGATCCAGAATTCAAGTTTTATTATATTGAATACAATTTACAAATTGAAGTCTCTCGGAAAACTCATGGTTGAATAGCTTATGTTGTCTCACCGAAACCCTAGCTAGCAGCAGACTTGCCTGCTCAAAAATTATATTGACGTATACTTTCGATTTTTAATAACAACATAATGACTCGTTTAGAAATTAGAAGTGATTTTAAAATGATTGAAAACGTTTTTAATGAAAATATTTTTGAAACCTATCTTTGGTAAAAACACAAGATAATTTTGGAAAAGCACTTAAACTACTTCTTGAAATAAGCACATAATTGGTGCTTCTTCTAGGAAGCACTTCAAGTGCTTTTGGAGTCTAAAAATATTCTCTTTAAAAGCGCTTTCAGTTATTTTAAAATTAAGCACTAAATTAGTAAAAAAATTAGCTAATTCACATATGATTAAGTTGGTTAAGTAGCAACTCATTCAATTTATTGCAAAGTAGTAGTCGTATATTTGAGATAATACTCTGTTTGGTTTCATATTCTGTCCAATAATTTATATCAGCTAATGCACTGCATATTTATTAGCAGTGTTGAGATTGTGGATTTCACATTAGAGAATTTGAAGACCTTACATGCACTTAAAAAAGAGTTGGGCTGCTCTTCATGTGCTTATCAAACTAAGCGTTGATGGTGTGTAAATGTAACCTCCATTGCACATATCACATGGGACCATAGCTATTGATTATTCTTAAGAGATTCACTCGTTAGGGTATCCAAGAGGTTCAATCAAGAAAAGCATGGTGTGGGCAAACTACAAAAAGTAAAATAGGATCGGTTACAAAGTATAGGGCAAAACTCAATCAAGTGGTGCAAATGCAAACATGAAATGAAACTTTAGTGGTTCACCTCGTGCTTAGTTCAGCCATAAATGTGCTTAACACAAATAAAGTTAAAATTTTAAAATTATCATAAAATTATAAAAATTAAAAACTAAGAAGAACCCTAATTCCTTTGGCTTCACCGACTTTTATTTTATTTTTTAAAAGCAAAAGTATCTCATATCATCTCTTCTCATTTTTCTTGTCTTTATCCTTCATGCTGCCTGCAAGATAGGGAGAATGAGAACAATCAGCCGGAACTCGAAATCAAACTTCTGATCTGGGACTGATTGCTTGGAGCTCTGATTGCTTACCTTGTCTGTCACCTCTTTCAGCAGATCCCCTAGCTCGACGACTTGGGGGACTCCTACTACATGGTTTGTATCGCGCTTGACCAAGCCTGAAACTACAAGTAAGCTTCAAGTGAAATTGATACATTACCTTGTGCATCTCCACCAGTTAAAGATACCACCCCTGGATGGAGGAAGAGTACTTCCAGAAAAGATGCCACATCTACCTATGAGACAGATAAGGCAAGTGAAGATGATACCACACTTCGGTACTTAGAAGTTTCGTGATTACGAGATCATTCTCCCACAATATTTCCTAATGTCATTTGTACTAAATCATTCACTTGTACTCATTAAAGGAGAGCTTGAACCTATGTACTTGTGTGAACCCTTCACATTTAATGAGAACTCCTCTACTCCGTGGACGTAGCCAATCTGGGTGAACCACGTACATCTTGTGTTTGCTTCCCTGTCTCTATCCATTTACATACTTATCCACACTAATGACCGGAGCAATCTAGCGAAGATCACAAACTTAATTTTTTCTGTTGTACCAAAGTCCTCACTGATTTTGTGCATCAACAATCCTGAAGTCCTTACCTTTTTGCATTGGTAATGGATGAGTTAACAGGACATATTCAAGATGATATTCCTTGGTGTATGCTTTTCGCAAACGATATAGTGTTGATAGATGAAACTTCGGAAGGGGTAAATGCGAAGCTTAACCTCTGGAGAGAAGTGTTGGAATCTAAAGGTCTTCGCCTAAGCCGATCAAAGCTAGAATATATGGAGTGCAAGTTCAGTGCAAATGGAGGCCAAAATGAGTTAGGGGTGAGGATCGGAGATCAGGAAATACCAAAAAGCGACCGTTTTCGCTACCTAGGATCTATCTTGCAAAAGAACGGAGAATTAGATGGAGATCTCAACCATAGAATACAAGCTGGATGGATGAAGTGGAAAAGTGCATCCGGTGTGTTGTGTGACCGTCGTAGGCCACTGAAGCTCAAGGGAAAATTTTATAGGACGGCAATAAGGCTGACGATGCTGTATGACACAAAATGTTGGGCGGTGAAGCATCAACATGTACACAAAATGGGCGTAGCGGAGATGAGGATGCTTCGTTAAATGTGTGGGCACACAAGAAAAGATAAGATTAGGAATGAGGATATCCAAGGTAAAGTAGGAGTAGCCGAAATTGAAGGAAAGATGAGAGAAAATCGATTACGGTGGTTTGGACATGTGCAAAGAAGGCCTACTGACGTTCCGGTTCGAAGATGTGACTACGAGACAGAGGTTCAAGGCCGAAGGGGTAGAGGAAAACCTAGGAAAACTTTGGAAGAGACCCTAAGAAAAGACTTAGAGTACTTGGATCTAACGGAGGATATGACACAAAACCAAGCGCCATGGCGTTCTAGGATTCATATAGCCGACCCCACTTAATGGGAAAATGCTTTATTGTTGTTGTTGTTGTTTTAATTTTTCCATTACAAGAGAACAAGAGCACACTCACTACCACTTGACACACAGGATTCAAACACCGGCCAATTACAGTTAGTTATTTTGTCCGTTAGCTTATCTCTGCTTCTCTGCCTTCCGACCACTCCTTTAACATCAACAATTAAATTATTGTTAGTAAATGCATGATTATATTAATAAGTTGTAACTTTCATTATTTATGGTTTAATTAAGAGTAATGGTAGGGAAACCAAATTCCTAAACCAAAATTTGTAAACCGAATGATATAGACCTTGATAATTAGATTATTACTTAAATATTGATTAACTTGCCACTTAGTACTACGGTCTAGTGATGTTCTTCTTTATTTATAAGTGAGAGGTCTTAGGTTTGATTCTCGCCAAAGGCGAATTTGAATCACATTATTGCTAGCCTATTGTGGGGCTAAACTCACCCCCTTTCCCCTTAGTGTAGATAATATCGTTTGTTCAAAAAAAAAAACTTGATTTCCCTAGTATTACCCTTTAATTAATTGATTAGATAATAATAAATGGTATCCCAGCAAGCTCTCATGCCGTACACGTGACCCATATACTTATCATCAGCTTTGTGGGCCACCTATCCCTCCACCAATCGGTTCCGAAGAAGCGAGAACAACTTACTTGTTACCGTCATTGTGTTATTTGTGGTGTTCGAGGACGTATACATAACAATGTATTATTAATTCAAAAGGATACATAACAATAAATCAGTTTAATGTATGTCAAATCAGCTCCATGGGTGTCATTCTCTGAATTAATAATGTGTGGGTGTGTCAAGTAAACAGTATAATGCATGTGCTAAGCAAATGGGGTTGTGTGCTTACTTGATCCGTGGCCATTTAATTTGGTGTAGTTTTGTATCTAGGAAAAAATGATGCGGTTTGATTTGTGCAAGTAGGTGAGTTGGCTCAGTCACAAAGGGTCATTTTATGTAATGGACGGCTGAGATTGATTGATGTGTCGTTCCTAGTCTTTGTATAAAATCCCTATCAGTTTTTCTTTTCTTTTTTCTTTTAGGTCTTCATTTTTTCTCTGGGAACAAGGATGGCTGATGGAAAAAGGAAAAATAAAAGCAAACTTAGAATGAATGATACAATAAAAAAGAAAAGATTATCATTCATTCTTTGCCAGTGAGTATTCCCACCAAAAGCATTGTGGATAAGCGCCCATATGTGACACCCGCTTATCCGAAGCAATTAGACCCCAATTGACCCTCATTGATCGTCGCGATCGATAAGAATGACGACCCATGAGACCGGGGTAAAAAGCAGAGAGAGAGAAACCAATTGCCTTTTGTATGAACCCTAAAATAGGTGAGAGTTCAGCTTCAAATGCCAACAAGCTTTACTTGGCATCACTTGTGATTTTAATTTTTATTATAAGTTTGTCTTTGGTAGTCTGAACTACTCACCAATCTACTTTTTAAACAATCTTTAACTTTTTAAACAATCTTCATTATTCCATGTTGTTAAATGGAATAACAACAAAGAAGGCAGATAGAAGTTTTTTCTTTTTCTTTTTGTTTTTTTTCTTTTAATTATGAGAAGGAGATAGAGAGGAGAGTTTGTGAAGTCATTAGAGTTGACCCCACTCTTAACTATTTACAGGTCAGAGAAGAACCTAATAATGCGAATTATGGATTCCACAGGCAATAGAAGCAAGTAAAAGCCAGTTTTACTCATACCGAACAATGGACCAGAAATTTTGTGTAAGCATGGTAATTTTTATTGGTTAGGGTTTTTAGTTTGCACCTCAGATATCAGGAGCAGGTTACTCATTTTCCTGCATCGACCGACCGGCTGTAGCTCATATCAACTCTATCTGGAGAAGGGTAGCGTTTTAGCCGGAAATTCCTGACACCACTGCAGCGAGTTTCATCAATCCACAGTCATTAAGGATTAATTTCACTGTCAATTGATCATTCCACATTCAAGGAAAAAAGAATAGACAAGGATATGGTCCCATGCATATTTATGCATTAATTAACCAGATGATCAACGTTTGCCAACAATAACAATAATATATTCAACAGTCAGGTGCTACAACAACACTCCTGAAAGAAACACACACTTTGAATCTTAAGAGAGAGAGAGAGAGAGAGAGAGAGAGAGAGAATGAGATAAGATTGTATCAGTCTACAGCTTAAAAACTAAACTAACATTTGAATCGAAATAAGCAGACTAAGCTCTCTCTTCCTTTACTTCTCTACCGGCGGTGCGTGGGAGGAGCGTGTAAATTTAATCTTTCTGATCGTCCGCTTCAAGACCTATCTCCATTTCCTCAACAAAAGATAAACAATATGGTCCATCTCAAGATGGATAGCTTGTCAGTCTCTAATCAGCTTGGGAACCCTCCCTCTGCCCCTCCTGCGGCCTTGGTTTATGATCAAATGAATATGGAAGCAAAAACAAAATGAAATTTAGAAGCGTACCAATACAACATTTGGGTAATCCAATACCTGATCGTCATCGAAACAGCCCCAGCACAAGACCGTAAGTCTGGCGGAGCTACACCCACGGCTACAGTGGGCTGTAGCCTAGGGAGGATTTTAACAAACTGCATTTATAATAGTTTAAATATGAGCTTGTTGTTGCTTGTTGTAGGTATAATATCCGGAGGTGAATTGTCTGCCCTCCCATTTCCATACTCTTCCAATCCTCTCCTATTTGTGTGGTCACGGTTAAGCTACGTCAACATTTTATATTGATTTTTTTATAAAACTAATAAAACAAAAAGTAATAGGAATATAAAATATTGACGTAATTTAATTGTGATTACAGAAAACAGGAAAAGATGGGAAGAGTATGAAAATGGAAAGGCAGACAATCCACCTCCATAATACCCCACCCCAATCCTGCCAAAACTATAGTTAATGTGTTTCTTAATTTATAAATAATACTTTTATTACTTTATATGTTATTTTATTATTTTTAGGCTAAAAGTAAAAATGAATTAATATATAATTAAGTTTCTCTTACTCCCCATACTTTTTTATCAAAACAAAAAAAACCCTCTACCCTATTCCACAAAGCTGTGTTGCTTTCTGAAGGAAAAAAAGAAGAACTTTAACGAAAAGCACCTGGTACTGTTCACTTTAACGAAAAACCACATTTTTACACTAAAAATTCAATCCTGATGCTATTCACTTTACCCTTTATTTTGTCCTTATCAGTAAAACTCAAAGTTTTCAAGCCTTTTTCATTAGTTTTCCTAAAAAAAAACTATGAATCACCATTAAATTATTTTCTAATGAAATTCAACACTAGTCCGTAGGTATGTTGTTCATCTTTTCATTTAACTTATTTCTTGATTCAATTGTTAGGTTATTTTTTTTTCTTTAGTCCTTGAATTTATCTGTTAGGGTTAAAGATTTTGGGAATAGTCTATGTTTCATGATTCTTGTATTTATATTGCTTTTTTGTATGCATGTTTTATTTGTGTAAAAATTAGTTGGAAAGTAATTAATAAACTCGTTTGGAATAGTACTTCATATTCTTATTTTTATGTAGATTATTATATAATTTTATGTAGGAAATATATCATATGATTACATGCTAATAATTTTAGCTAGCTCACCCAAGAAAAATTTTCTGGCTCCACCGCGTAAGTTGTTTACTCATTTTCGTTCAGAGAATCAAAAGCCACTGCAGGAGCATCTCGCGGGGCATATAAAACTGATCGTACGTCATTTGTACTATTATCCCATTTTCTCTTTATCTATTTTACTGATAGGATTAATTTTCTCTTAGGAATATAATAATTGGTATATTCTTATTCCAGAGCACTGTAGTTCCCGGAAGGCAAGTCCTGTATCACCGATACAAAGAACTAGAAAAAAATTATCTGATGGGTAAGTGATATAGATATCTAATAGCTTTATGCAAATATTCACACATAATTGTCCTTGCCCCGATCCCTATCACCATCTTATATGCTGGATGGGATCATAGGTGAAGCTGTTTGCATTAAGTTTACAGTTCTCCGAACAACCTTAACATAGATTGGAAACTAACTTGCATGGTGCAGAAGTTTAATTCCAAAACCTAAAAACTGGGGAGGATACAGACTTAAGCCACAGGTGTTTTAGTTTGGCAAGGCCAAAAATTTCGTTTGCATGACAGGTGGTTTCTATCCCCTTTATGATGGCTTGTTCTTCTTCCATTTCTTTTGCTTGAGTGTCGACAGCTAGCCTGTAACAAATGCACGGAGCAGATATGGGCTGAAAAAGGAACTCAAAAAATTGTGGTTCTGGATCCTGGATACTTATAACTGTGCGGAAATCTGTACTTTTTTTTTCCTGCCACTGGCTTGGATATGAACTGTAACTCAGATATAAGTCTGGTTGACGGATTTAGTTGATTCTAGCAACCATTGGTTTTTAAAACTGTTAATAAAAGACGGGTCATTTTGGTTTTGGTCCTTAATCAACCTAATTGTTAAACTGAAACTTTTTTTGTTTAAATAATTTGATCGAGGTCCTTCGCCTCATTTAAGATATTTAACTTATGCATTTATGCATTTAATGTCCCACAAATTATGAAATTTAAACAAATCGAATAATATTTTGAAAACATAATAAATACTTAAAAATCAATTTTAGAGTTGTTCTTGACAAAAATTATAGCAAACAAATAATGTACGCACATAATTATTAACATATTTTAAAAAATAACTATTGATATATTTTAAAACATAAAATAGTATATATAATTAGCATGGGTACATTTAGCAAAATTAAAAATGGGTACAAATAAATTAAAAAAAATATGGGTACAAATACGAATAAAAGTTTAAAAAATATGGGCATAAAAAAATTAATATATGGTTACAAATTAAAATTGAAAAGAAAATTGGTACAAAATAAAAAAAGGGGTTGCAAGCTAAAAATGGGTACAAACTAAAAATAAAAATATATGATAAAATATTTAGTCATAAATCTAAATATACCAAATATAACGTTTCTAACACTAAATGAATATATTTAGAAATAAAAAATATTTTATTATTGAAATAATTAATGACGTTTATTTAAATCTAAAGACCTTGATTAAAAATTAAAAATAAATAAAGTTTTAATCAATGAAGTAGGAAAAATAAGGATGAGAACCTAATTTTTTCATAAAAGAAATTTTCTTACTTGTGGTTTGATCAACGATGTGATAGAGTAAGAGTTAACTATATGGATGTGCTACTGAAAGGAACATAACATATTTTGCTCAAACGTCTCAACGTGTGTTTTTTTTCCTTGATAGGCTGCGATATTCTCCTGAAGAAATCACAATGGTCAACATGTGCGGAAAATTGAGCGGTTGGCGCCCTGGCAAGTACTTTCAGCATCTTCATTTAGGGCATTGTATACTACATAATTACTGGCCCCGTCAGTTTATTGTTGTTCTCCTTATATTGGCAACCTGCACGAACATTTAAAGGAGAATTATTGGCACGCGGAGCTTAGTGTTAGAAGACTATTAATAAATTCGGAAGGACGTGTGTACCTTTTATGCGGAAGCTTGAATGTTGACACGCTCCTACAAACACGAACAGCTGCCCTGATCCTCCGTGCACGTCTAGAACCTCGCAGGTCGTTAGGATGGCTACGGTATATCAAGTTGCCTCTTGGTTTTTGCCTCCTAGTTTTTGCCTCCCAAGACCTAAGGCCAAAAGTGATAATCCTAAAGACCTAACTAGAATATTTGAACTATGAAAAAGCTTGTGTTTCTTGTGTTTTCTCTCTTCCCCAAAGCCTTCTTATATAGTGGTTGGGACGAGCGTACAAAGATTGAAATGCCCATGAAAATCCCAAGTATATTCTTGTTGATGCACAAAATCAGTGAAGACTTTGGTACAACAGAAAGTGTAAAGTTTGTGACCTACGCTAGATTGCTCTGGTCACTAGTGTGGATAAGTATGTAAATGGATAGGGACAGGGAAGCAAACACAAGATGTTCGTGGTTCACCCAGATTGGCTACGTCAACGGAGTAGAGAAGTTCTCATTAATTGTGAAGGGTTTACACAAGTACATAGGTTCAAGCTTTCCTTTAGTGAGTACTAGTGAATGATTTAGTACAAATGACATTCGGAAATATTGTGAGAGAATGATCTCTATTTATAGAAGAGTTTCTAGTTTCATTCTGACATTGAGACGTGTCGTGTTGTGATTGGCTTCTGATGTTGACACGTGTCGTGCTATGATTGGCTTCTGATGTCGACACGTGTCGCACTGTGATTGGCCTCCTGGTTGTAGGGAAACTCTTCTGGGTCCTTGACGGTATAACGTTGATCGGTGCTCAATAGTTTCGGGATTGGTCAAGTATGGTACAAACAATGCTCCCCTAAGTTCATGAGTGAAGGAAGCTCCTTGGTTGGGGACTTGCAAGATCCAAGCCATTGAGTAATCACGAAACTTCTAAGTACCGAAGTGTGGTATCATTTTCACTTGCCTTATCTGTCTCATACGTAGATGTGGCATCTTCTCTGGAAGTACTTTTCCTCCATCCAGAGGTGGTATCTTTAACCGATGAAGATGCACAAGGTAATGTATCAATTTCACTTGAAGCTTACTTGTAGTTTCGGGCTTGGTCAAGTGCGATACAAAACCCTATAGTAGGAGTCCCCCAAGTCGCCGAGCTAGGAGATTTGCCGAAAGAGGTAACAGACAAGGTAAGCAATCAGACTTCCAAGCAAGCAACCTGGATCGGAGGTTCGACTTCGGCTTCAGGTTGATTGTTCTCCTTCTCCTTATGTCGTAAACAGCAACAAGGATAAAGAGAAGCAAATGGAGAAGAGATGATATGAGATACTTTTGCTTTTGAAGAAGTAACTTTCCACAAGCTTATTCTTGAACTGGGCTAGAGGGTTTTCTGGTTTCCTCCAGAGTATAAGGCCGACTCAAGAATTTGAGGGTCAAAACAAGTCCATCAAATCAAGAGTGCGTTCGACCTTGATGATATGGGATACTTTTTCTGTTGACGAAGTAATAGATGAATCGGCATGTGTTCTGTTGCGCTTGTCTCCACAGGCTTCCTTGTATCCTTCTCACTTGCCCTATCTGTTCCTCAGGCAGATGTGGTATCTTTTCTAGAAGCATAAGATGTTGAAGATGAGTACTCAAGAGCAATGCTAGGTAAGTAATCAGGTAAAGGGTTCCAGGCAGTCAGTTCCTGACTAGAAGCTTGATTCCAAGTGCTGACTGATTGCACTCTTTCTCCTTGTCTTACAGGTAAGAACAAGGGCAAAGGAAAAGACAGGGAAAAAACATGATATGGGATACTCTTGCTTTTGACCTTGATGATATGAGATACTCTTACTCTGGTGTGGCTGGTTTGCATAGGTATTATTGGGGGGGGGAAGAAAAATGAGTATTTCGAGAGGCTTCGTTGGGATTTCCCTCTCAGATATGAGGAACGGTTGAGCATTCTTGCAGGTCTGCCTGTCCGTGGAGGATGGAGGTCGACATATATAGGAGTCTCCCTAACAACAAGTAGCAATGCTATTCCTTTACCCTTCTTGGTTGTAGCAATGTAGTGGGAGCTACAAGCTTCACGTGTTTTAACTTTGTCAGAGCACTTTGAAAAAGTGGTATGTGGTATCTGGAAAGCTGATGTTGCATGTGAAGATTGCAGACA